TTAAACCACGACAGAAGGGAAAAAGAACTACGTTCCACAGCTTAAAATTGTATAATTTAGCAGCTAGTTTTGTCAATTTAAAGTTTAAATATACATACACAAGAGAGCTTGGCTTCTCCTCAACCAGCAGTCTTTGAGTAACACATCTCACACTTCTTATTTAGAAGAGCATACTCGAAAACCCCACAACTATTAAAGCCCCCATCATCGTATCTAATACAGTTTAGTTACAGGGAAGTGCCTGAGTAACGTCCCACTCTTACCAAGTAGTAAATGTATCGGTCCTCTCTTTGGAGGACCGCCACCTCCCCAGTCTTCTTTTCTGAAGCAAAGAAATGAAGAAGGTATTTTTAAAACACTTACACTCCGCTCCATAATCCCCCCCGCACCCCAAGTAGCTTGGAATACCCTTACTGCTGGAAATCAAGGTTTTCCCTTCAGCTCCTGCATGTCCACCCCACGTGTATCACTCACGTTGATCCAACAGCTCTTGTACGCCTCCAAACTTTTTCTTAAAAAGAACAGCTATGCCTGCACCCATGCGACAGTCCTCACTGATGCAATGAGCCAAGGCGTCCGTCTGGGGGCACGAGAAAAGGTCCCCCTTGACACACTTGATCTGGAAAACACCACAAACAGAAGGGTAAATAAAAATAAGCGGAGTGCAGGCTCAGATAAGAGAATACTCAGGTAACAGGGAACTTGGCAAGCCTGTACATCAAGGACAATAAGGCATCGAACTCAAGATGCAGTTCACAAGTAAATGAGTTGGCATGAATTATGAACCCAACATACAGGTAACTACCTTTTCTACAAGACCAGTTATGAGCATCACGAGCCAGCTCAGCAGTTAATTTTACAATATCAACGCTTAAGAAGGAAAATTATGTAATAGAGCACAGCAGGATTAGTGCACACCTTCAGTGTGCCCGTGCTGGACATCCCCAGACATTTAGTCAAGCCCGTAAGCCCTGTGCTGTTGTGCAATACCTGCACCACTGACACAACCACAAAAGCACAAGGAATTCAGCAGTATCAGCCCCTTCCCTCCAAAAAGCTACAGGGTACAGCCAGCTGCCATGTTATGAGGGGGACGGGAAGGCCTCTTTACAGAGACACGCATCGCAGCAGTAGCCCAGATAACCCATTTTCTACGCACTCTCTCCTCCTGATCCTTGGAGAAGTGGGTGGCCATGGTAACGCGGGCTATGGTGAAGACTCCCGCAGCTGGAAAGATGACAGAGAGAAAAAGAGAGTTATTAGGAATCCCAAGCTAGGCAATAAGCTGGTGTGCCAGAAGGTGCAAGGCTAAGCCTACTTTATCTACGGGACAGCTGGGACAATCGAGACACCCCCAGAAAGCAGCAAAGGGGGAGGCCAGCACCCCCGGGCAGTGTGGCGCAAGCTTTCCTGCTGCACCCCGCAGCCCCGGCCCGTGAGCTGCGAGCAGGCCCCAGTCCAGGGTCACCACACAGCCGGCACCCAGGGGCCTTCCATCCTCCTCCAAGTCACCCCTGCCCTCCAGGAAAACCCCTCGGCAGGCCACACCCGCGGTGTGCAGAACGATCCGCCGGGCCGGGGGCTGC